GGGGGGGGGGGGGGGGGGGGGGGGCGGGGGCTGCGGGGGAGGGAAATCGGAGGAGGCGGAGCCGACGCCGGGAGGGGGAAGCCGATTGGCGACCAAGGCGGAACAGCCAATGGGCGAGCCACCCCACTCTCGGCAGATTCTCGCCACTGGGGCGGGGCCGAAGCAGAGGGAGGAGTCGAACGCTACCGCAGGATACGATTGGAGAGGCTCGAGGGTGGGCGTGGCCTGGCTTCCCGCTGCTATAAAAGTGAAGGGGCGTGGCTGTGTGGGGGAGTGGTAGCGGCTGGCAGCCGGCGGGGCAGGTTTCCTGTCTTTGTGTGGGTCGGTGCGGTTTCAGAGTCTCGTGGCGGGGAGTCCCGCGGGCGGCGCCAGGCCCTCTTCCCTTGCCCCGGACCTCGGCTTTGCCGGCCTCACCGTAAACAACTGGTGGAAATCGCAGGATTCGGATTAACTCTCTCCGTCCTCGCAGTACAGCGCGAAAAGGGCTGTAGAATTGCCGGAGAAGCCTTTGGACGGGATGGCCACGCACTGGAGGCCGGTAAGCTGGTGCATTTCTGCAAAATTCCTTTTTCTAAGCGGGGAGCTGCGTTTGCTTCTGTGCGGGCAGTACAACGGTGGGGGTTGCAGCGGAGGCACCCGTGGCTTCCTCGGTGGGTGAAGCGCCCTCCTGTCCCTCCCGCGGCTTCCAGAGGAATCGGCTGGCGTCCCACCCCCTTGGCTTAAAATAAGGGGGCCGGAGAGGGGGGCCTGGTTCAAAAGGCTGCTTCCGAGGCAGTGGCCGACTCTGTCTCCTGCCTGGATAGCCTGCAGCTGTGAATCTGCCAGTTGGCTATTTTTGCAGCCCAGGTAGCTTGATCTCTCGAGCAGATGGTTTTTGTGTTCCACTAGTTAACTGTGGAAAGCTGTTGCAGAACCCTAAGTGATCAACTAGTCCAGACTTCCTCAACCGTAGCAACTTTAAGATGTGTGGACTTCAGCTCCCAGAGTTCCCCAGCCAGCAAGCTCGACTGAGATGCGTGGACTTCAGCTCCCAGAGTTCCCCAGCTGGCAAGCTGGCTGGGG